GAATGTCTCATCATTGTACAAGTCTATTACCTGACATTTCGGGTGGAAAAGTAATCCCCCGAATACCCCACGAGCTTAAAAATTTATCAACCATTTTCGCCCGGATTCTGAGCATTAAAATGAAGTAATCAAGTCTCTCAGGAGAAATCTTTGAAAATTTTTTATCATGAAAAACTTGTCTCCCTCTTTTATTTGCAACGAAAAAATCGGGAAATATCAACTTTGAAGCTATGGTATATTACAAGTGAAAATTCGGATAATACTGGGCTGTGATTATTTCATTATCTTACAGAAGACTTAACAGGCATAATAATAGCTACATATTGTGCAACTTTGTTGATAAAGAAAAAATGTTATCCAATCGAATTTATGTCAGGGTGTCAGTTCAATTATTCCCCCGTCGCCATGAAAGCTCCAATAATACGCTACACAAGAGAAACCCATGTCGAGGGAGCCCCTTACAATTTCAGTCTTCAATTTCGCCCTCAACATCTCAACGGGTGTATACCTGCAGTTGGGTATTTCGCACAGGAGGCGCGTTGCACCGTAAAATATGTCGTAAAACTGAAAAGAGATTAAAGCCCACCCTCCGTACATGTGTATGTGTACGGCGGAAAACGGAGTACCCACCAAAACTATATTCGTGGGATTTACGAGGACGATAAACGGGATTATGCGTGCCATAAACCCAGCAAACGACCCACCGAGTGCGTAGTGGCACACCGTTAGAGAAGGATGACTTTCAGAAGCTTTTAACCTTTTTTTATCATTTTTTTACATTGCTTCTTCCACCGAGGCTTCTATCCTGAATCATTCCACTTTGAGAGAACAGATTATCACAATCTAAATTATTCTTCACTTCACTTGAGATAATCTATATGGCATGTACAATTTTGGACAGATCTTCCTCACTTACTCTACATTTTCACATTTTCAATCGTCTATTCCATAGAGTCGATCGGGGAATTGAAATTATGTATTAATTATTTTGGATTCTTTGAATTTCCTGAATTCATAAATTCTAGAAAAATGAAGATTTTAATCTATTTTCACTTTATAATAGAATGCAATAGAATTTACCATGGAATAAAATTGCTGACGCGTAATAAAAAAAAAAATAATAATTCCTCGCGTTAAATTAAAATCAGAGATTCACTGAATGAATTATTTTTTTATTTTTTCGCCCTTTAGAAGAATAAATGATGATTGAAGAGAAGTAGATATGGCAGACTATTTCTCACTATTTCTCATAATTTTATGAACCCGATTTAATTAAAATCAAAATGAAAAACGGTGCAAGCCGAAAATGAGGCTCTGTTTTCCAGTGTATGGGACAGCCTATTATGCCCCTGAATTTAATTAAATCGAGCCTAGATGTCAAAGGACTTCGCAGTTGGCGGTCATATAGAGGGAGAACCCTGACAAGACGGACAATGCTGTCGCAGATTATTACCCAACCATCTCAGTCCCGTTGTTAGCCGTATTCTATGCCCCAGGAATATCCACGACCTTCCACGTGTGTCAGAAGGACATTGAGGATTACCCAAGAAGGTTGGACCCTCCTCGATGCACAGAAGGTCATCGACTCCCCACGATTGATAAAACCGGAAGAAAAGATTTCAACCCGAGGGAGATTGTTTCGTGCTGAAAGTGTTTCATGACAGTGGAGAAGCTCCGGGGATGCGCTGGAGTGTCTCCTTCGGTCAATAACTGGACACGTTGCCCACCCACATCCCCATTGTTCGCCTATTGCGTCACAAAACCGGGGACTAGCCGAGCCCCTCAGGAAAAAATCCATTCCAGGGATCAAATTTGCTCTAACACCCCGAACAAAAAATTCACTAAAAATTGCACCGTGAAAAAAAAATTATTGCAGTCCAGAGAAATTATCAAGGATTGGCAATAATATTATTTTTCGCGATATTCGTGTTAATATTTTGAATTTGTTAGATAATATCGATTTGTCGATTGGCAGTTTATCCGGTAATGAAAACTGACTTGTGAACTATTTTTATTTCTGTACTATTTTTATTTATTTTTGCGTTACGTGTTATTTGAGTTGCTTTAATTTAATTGTGACAGTAAATCTCCAGATTTGCGAAAATAAATTCAATTATTTCGAATTATTTTCTATCGGACAGATAAAAAAATTTAAAAATGCTGGTAAACAACTTGTGATTGAAAATTCTGGCAAAAAATAATTAAACAATGGAGTGAACAGAAACAAAAATTGTTGGCATTTCCAGGACTCTTCTGCTCGCACACAATAAATAGGTAATAATTATCTTCTATTCATCCCGATTTATTTATGAATTGACGAAACAACCCATTTATTAATGTCAAAAAACTCGCGCATTGTTACGAGGGAGATTACGACTGTTGCAATTCTCCCATTTCATCTCTAGCACGCGCATTTGAAAGATCGTTTTACCCTGGGGCTGTTCACGCTGGGATTCTCGTGGTGGAAAGTACTTTGAACCTTAGCAGGTGCCTCAGGAGAGTCGTACTGTTTCGCGCATCTGAACGTGAAAATCGTTGAGCAATTTTAAGTATCAAAATTGTGGAAAAAATATATATTTTTTTGGTCCCACTTTTATCGTAGTTGCAGCGTTCCGGAACATTTAGTAAACACGAATGAGTCGAGGCAAAATGGAGATTGCAATCATTCAGAGTCGCGTACGGAAGCGCACAGCCTGCGATGTACCGTCCTGTTATTCACAATGTTGCTTCGTCGTTATGGTTCAGCCCTCGTCACGCAGTTTGCTTCGAATTTTTTTCAACTTCTGCTATAGGGAGGATTTATTGGATGCCTTGAGCTGCATTGGCGAGACTTGTGGGAAAGGTTGCTCGTTTTTTGGATCATCTGAGTCAATGGAATTTCATGTTCCCCTGATATTTTTCGGAAAATTTGGAATTTTCAAATTTCAGTGAATACCTCCTTGATTCTCACGCTCTCCTAATACTTTCTCGAAAATCTCGAGTTTTTCAATTTCAGCGAATACCTCCTCGATTGTCATGTTCCCCTGATACTTTTTCAAAAATTAGGAATTTTCAAATTTCAGTGAATATCTCCTCGCCTTTCATGTTCCCCTGATACTTTTTCGAAAATTTCGAATTTTCAGATTTCAGTGAATACCTCGTTGATTCTCACGCTCCCCTGATACTTTTCCGAAAATTCCGAGTTTTTCAATTTCAGCGAATACCTCCTCGATTTTCATGTTCCCCTGATACTTTTTCAAAAATTAGGAATTTTCAAATTTCAGTGAATATTTCCTCGCCTTTCATGTTCACCTGATACTTTTTCGAAAATTTCGAATTTTCAGATTTCAGTGAAAACCTCCTTGATTCTCACGCTCCCCTGATACTTTTCCGAAAATTCCGAGTTTTTCAATTTCAGCGAATACTTCCTCGATTTTCATATTTCCCTGATACTTTTTCAAAAATTTCGAATTTTTCAATTTCAATGAATACCTCCTCGATCCTCATGTTCCCCTGATGCTTTTTCAAAAATTTCAAATTTTTCAATTTCAGGGAATATCCCCTTAGAATACGGAATAAAATTTACCGGAAAAAGTTCTCACAACTCTCGAGGGGATTTCACAACCCAATAATTCCATCATCTGTGAAATTTTCATTTAATTTCCTCGCTTGACAGGTCAATAAAATAAATCAATCGATAGGAGCCATCAGGAGTTAATGGAATAAATGCCAAAGTTGCCAGCAGAGATTTTTCGATTGAATAAAAAGGAAAAAAGTTGATATCGACTGAGAAGAGGAAAGGAGGGAAAATAGGAACGAGAAGGTGGTGGGATTGAGAGAGGAATGGGGGGACTCTGGAGACCGAGGCGTTATTGCTTTGGCTCTGGTGGAGAGGATAGTCCACGGTGGTTATAAGGTGGTGATGGTGGAACGACGGTCTCTCGCCCATGTACGAGGCAATATCGAGGCGGTCACGTAGACTGACCTCAGCACTGTGCAATAACGACGGCTCTGCTAGTACTATTCCCACCTACACCACAGACACCAATACAACCACCCAAGGGGGCTGCCATGGTCTCTTTTACGATTTGCACACGATTTCACTCACATATTTTCCTTGATTGACCCATCAACCTCTACTGCTATCCTTCAACATCCAGGAGGAGAAAATATTTCATGGGGTCAACATGTTTTCATCAATTCGCTATCAATTTTCCTTCGTTTGAGAAACTCACCTGGTGAAACACCATTAATACCTCTCTTTTCGCTTTTTTGTAGAATTTACGTATTCGGATTTTATTCAATAATAATATTACCCGTCAAAATATTATAACCCGAATATATTACTTTGCGAAAATATTAGCCCGAAAATGTTACTAGTCGAGATATTACAGTGTTATTATATTATTTTAAAAAATATTAAAAATGAATGAATTATCATATAAATTGTTTACGGCGCAGAAGTATTATGCTGCTAAAATAGTGTTGGTCTCACTTATTTTTGAAGCAATATCCATAAGTGTAGTGGATTATTATGATTTACTTGGGGGAGTTGGGGATTAGTCTTGTGTACGTTAAGAAATCGATATCTTTTGCCTACCATACTAAGTACTGCCTGAGGATTTCTACCGATTGAATTTGTTACTCGGTCTGTGATATTGTCGTGTATCTTCGGGGCATTGGTCAGAACGTTATTCTCAGATTTAAAATATAATAATTTCTTCAGTTATAATAGTTTGAGTTGTTATTTTGATAGGTAACCAATTCAACGATAAGTTTTCCTCCCTGAGGGTTCAAAAGGCTAGATATGAGTAATGTATAATCACCGTGACAAATGGATGGAGAGAAGATAGAATAATAAATCCTCGGGTACATCAGAACAAACGGATTGTACGATTAATTTCGAAGTTGCCATCGCCGCTTGGATAAATGCATGGCATGATCCAATAGCCCCGACCAAGAAGAATATACCTTGATAATCTTTTTTTAAAATTAACTGAAAATTGCATAACGACACTCACCATACATTTTTCCCTCGTCGGAGAGAATAATTTTGCGCCGGCCGCATGGTGGATAAATGGTGAGGGCCTCCTGGAAGCTCTGCTCGATATCCGGGGACCAGACGCCTTCCGCATCTGCCGCGGAGAGGTCCTTCTCGTCCTGCAATAATGATAAAAAACAGAGGATAAGCCACCTTGAAACTCCAAACAAACCCCAACAAAACACGATGAAATCCCCTGAAGCGAGCTCTCTCCATAATGAAGTGATATTGCACATCTCCTTGAAATTCTCAACCACCCATCCACCCCCTGGCTGCCTCACTTTTCCATCCCCCCTCGACATTGCTGTCTTCTGCCCCTGAAGGATCCTTTATAAAATACCATAAGGATTCTACGGTGAACCTACAAAACTCAGGTGAAGTGAAAAAGGGGAACTAGTGAGAGTGAGAGAGATGGGATGGGGGTGGCCTTTTGTCTTTGGATTTAAAAACACTGGAACGCGCAAGGTGTGTTCGATAGAAGAGGGAACATGCCCGTAGTGAGTCGGGTGCTTTTGGGACGAACAAAGGAGCAGAGAACATTCTTGGCACGCCATTCAGCCATGAGGAGGAAAGAGGGAAGAGGTGAAAACGCTAGAAGACGAAAGAGCACCGACTCACTGGCAAGTGGTGAGAGAGAGCCAGAGGTCGAGTTTTTCGCAACATGTGCCAATCTCTGAGATCTCCTCGAAGGCTAGGATTTCTCCTTTTTTTCTCCACCCTCCGCTGTCTCCTTCTTTATCGATATTAATCGTTTCGCTCTCTGCGGTTACGTCTGACGAGAGTGCGAGAGGAGGACTCGACGACTGGAGGACGAATCTTGGAATTCCGGGGGAAGCCTTCGTCTGGGTGCTTTTTTATCTAACTTTTTTTTTTCTTCTCTCGGTTGTCGGTTTTGTATCCACAACCCTAGGCTTTCCATCCTCGTGTTTATTGGGCTCTGGTGTCGTTATTGCACGTGAGAATCGTATGATCTACTCGATCGATGTATCGCGAGTATCGAGCCTTCAGGGAATTCTTTCGTTCGTTCGTTAGTGTCGATATTAGAGAGGAAATGTATCAGAAATGCATGCGGGACATCTTGGGCAAGGACGAGACTAGATGATTCACCGGAAGTGGTGTTTCATCGTTTTTATTTGCAAATAAAAAATGACAAGATATTGGTGTACATCAGTGAGATTCCGAGAGTCATTGAAAAATGTTAATTAATGTCGATGTTTTGGGAGTTCCGTCACAAATGTCAATGAAAAAAATAGTAATTGCAATAATTGCAATTCTAATTTCAAATATATATAATAACACGATAGATGAGTTATTCCACGGGTTATTTCATGCAATTAATTATTCTCGTGAACTGCAGATGCGCAGTGGTTTGGTTACGAGAGATTGATAATTATGAGAGGAGAACAATTTGGAAATCTAATCCGTTCAAAGGAACTGGATATCCCTTAATGACGAATGCAGCTCAGTCTATTACTTCCGGCGGGCGAGAGGGAATGGGTATTTTGGATGGAGAAAGTAAATGGAAATATGATAAAATAGAATATTCTCGTCTGACTCAAATGGTTAGAGTAATACTCGGAGAATTTCCGATGAGTAGATACGGACGTGCTGTAGTCAGACATGCGATATGCGCGGGGTGGATTCAACTGAATATGCATTTACTAGAAAAAATGTATATAATATCGAGCAATTCTATGTATTCATCAAATTTATAAAAATTGTATGTAAAAATATGTACCAAGGCTATTTTATAGATTTTCTCACGACGGAACGCAGAGCAAACAAAAAGTAATGTATGGAAAATTCATGGGCAGTAATTTATATGCAGGTAAGTAATTTATAATAAATTGAGCACTTGAAATAGTAAAAAACACTTACATCGCTGATTTCGCCAACGTCGAGATTCTTTGTATCCGAGCCGGAGCCGTTGGCGTCGGGCTGCGGCCCGGAACTCGCGGGTGTCCACGGCGAGGAAATGGTGTCGGCTGCAGCCACCGCACTGCCTGTAATCAACCAAAAGCAAATCCACATTAAAATCATTAATTTATCTCCCTATAATAATAAAAATGATCAACTATTAAAAATGATTAATTATTATTATCAAAATAATAAAAATTTGTATGGAATCGCACAACTCGATAATAAAACCCTTGACTGTTAATGAAAAAAACTTTCGGAAATTTAAAGTGAAAATCACGGTTTGAAAAATGCAGAGGTATCTTTCTCATTTTTTCAGAGCACATTAATTATCTGATTACTTGTTAATTTTTGCCCAATTTATTTATCTCTCTATAGAAGTTTGAACAATGACAAAATTAAGAATTACAATTACTGCCCCCTCCAATGAATTTCAAAGAAGTTGAAAAAAAAAATTAGAATTGCATAACGAGGGGACAAAACTGGCGCTTATCAGACCAGCAGTAAAAAAGGAGTGATAAGTTGAGAGTGAAAATCACCGGTTGAAAAATAGAAAAGTGTGTTGGCGGGGCTCAACAAGTGGTCGGTGATATCGCGTATCAGTGCAGCATGGCCAGAGGCGGGGGGTGGGGGTTAGGGTAGTTTGTAGTTGAGAACGCTCCGCCCCTGGAGGGTGGAGTGAAGCCCAGAACCCCCCCAGAACTGTGCGCCAACCCCCACTCATTCGACACAACAACCCCTCGAGAAACAGCTCGTTGGATTAACACCATCCACTCGGATGAGTATTCAACCCCCTTCGCTGTCCTATTGAGGGTGGTCCCCTCATTCCCCCGGTGATACAGATACAGACAACTTTCCGCACACGCTCTATCTTTCCTGACTTCAACCCTCCTCTTTCTTCCCTACTATTCACCCTTCGTCTTTCCGGGATACACGCGGTTTTCACCCTGTTCTCACCCTGTTCTCACCCCAGCCACAGACACCACTGTAATTTCCCGTAATCCAGTCCAATACACATCATTCAATCCCCAAAAAAACTCCAAAATATTTCTTACGATTTCTTACGATTACATATAGAAATTTACAAGCGCCAAAAGCTTCAAGTGAAAAAAAATCTACCCAAATATGAATATTTAACAACAAAGGACATTAAATCACCTTTTTTTTCAATTTTCCTTGATTGTTATGAATGTGGAGATCAGTTGAGGAGAATATAGAAATGTATAACAATTTTTAAAAGAATCATCGTGAGATTGATCTCAGTCATTTGATTTTCGTGACCTCCGATTCAAGTTTAATGGCAGGAAAGAATTTTTCAGTTTTTTTTTTTAAATCAGATGAATATTTCATGCAGGAATTCGCCCTTGGTTACCGGTCGAGCTCGAGCATCCACGAAGGACGAAAGATTTTCTTCATATGAATGAAGAAAAAGTCTCACACAAGTGGAATGCGGAGATGAGTACGACAGTTTTCATCATTCAAATTCAAGGAATAGTCGAATGCTTTTGATCAAGACCATGAGTGCGCATTTCGGAGGTCAAATTATATTTCTCTCCGAGGAACATAATTATTCCCACAGAAACGAGAAAAACTAATTCTTCAATAACTGAAAAACCACAACTAATAAAAAATGCAAGTCCCTCGACTTCTCGCTGTTACAATCCTTCAACTCCCTGAAGGTAGCGCGAAATTTAACTGATAATTAGTTTTAGCCAATTCGTATTTTCGTCACAGATAGACTAAAATTTCCTTCTTCCATAAAAAAAAAAGTTGAAAAAAAGTAGGGAAAATAGTTGAAAAACGGTCGATTTCCCGGTGGAAAATGAATAATAATCTGGCTCGGAGAAGTCACCCGAGTCATTTGGGTATAACAAAGGAATCAGATGATGTTGAACCAGGTCAAAGGTTATACTGATCATCAGGGTGTAAAATGAGAGCGCTAGTTAATTGAGAGACACACAGACAAGGTAAATATTCATATTGGTGTGCAGAGAGGGAATTTCGAGGGGAGCATTTGGGTGGAAATGCAGTATGAAGTTGACTGCCAAGTCGTGTGTATGTGGTTGGTGGGTAAAACCGGGGCACAGGATGCATAGATCATGGACGCGCATGGTTGCATTTGCCAGTGTGTATGCACTCGTCCAATGTCCAGAAGTACCACAAGGGCGGTGAGGGCAAAGAGGGGGATGAAGTTTACGCAGAGAAAGCGCAAACCCAGTGTTATGGGGTTGGGAAATGTGTGGATGATGGATAGGGAATGGCGCCGAGATGGCGATATAACATTTCCGGTGATGGGCGAAGGGGTTGAGGGAGGGTTGGAGGGAGGTGGGAGAGTCAGGGGGTTTTGGAATGCCAAGCAAGACCGCAGACGTCTAACTACTGGAGAACCGAGTAAACACACTGGGAAGGGGTTCAATTGTACCCCTCGCACCTTCCAAAATTCATGGCTCTAACCCCCTGTACTATATAATCCACGCATCAGCCTCGCAGCTTCATCCTCATGTAGACAACACCCCATTTCACCATTTCAAACCCTCTATTTTCGTTTATGTACCAATGTGTAAAAAATTACACTTGAATATTTGCAAAAATTACTCTAGCAGCACATGATTGATGAGTTTGTGCATGGAAGTTAAATATATTATTTGCGAGGATAACAGAGGGTATTATGGATTTTATTCGAACGGAATTACTATTTTTCGAAATGTGACACGTGAAATGCAAACGGCATTGTGATGAATTCTTTGAAACGTTTGAAATATGATTTGAAATATGATACGGGATGAATGACATCGAAAGCTACGGTAATTAGCAATAAATTTGATGTTTGGAGGAATTAAATCATATGCAATTGATGCCATTCCACAGAAATGCCAATTTATCTCAATTTTGGAGAAATTTCTAAATTAGTGAAGAACAAAATGACATTGTAAATGAATCAGTATTCTCAAAATAATGGAGTGTTTAATGCATTGTACCCGAAATTTCAATTGAGTTCGACGACTGCAGTTTGGCTAACTGAATAATTACGCAATTTTTGCTTTTAATCTCCAAATGAGAAATATAATGCTGTGGAATGTTTTTTATTATTTTTTTTGACAATGCGATTTGCAACGTAGAAGTGACATCCCACGGGGATTAAAAACTCTGGTAGAAACTTGCAAAGCGAAACGAGAGGGCGAATGCCAGTGACATGTGTCAGCGAATGAAATAAAAACCGGAGGGATGGAAAACTGGAGGGAGTGAGCATTGCACAAACATGAAATACAAACTGATCCTCTTTTCTTGGTGCTCTCATCGCATTTCTCCTGTTATCGACGGCGAGTGACAATGCAGGATCGAATATGTGACAGATTCGATACAGCCGTACGTGTCCCACGAGAGGGGACTACAGGTATAAAATAAACTTTTATCGAACGGTTCGAGGTATTATATGGGGGGATAGGAAAATTGCAATATCATCTGAATGTCGAAAGCTCTGTTATCTGTGCATGTCACTGGGAGAAAATAAATCCTACCGTTTTACATTTCATCATGGAAATTAATTAAAAATTATTCATAAGCAAGACTTTTAAGAATCACCCATCAAAATAACGCATCTCAAATGATTGTCTCCGAAAATTGAAAATTGTTATTTGTAATTGTAATTGTAATTTAAAATTTAATTATAATTAATAAGAGTCATTGGAAATTTTTTTTTTCATTTGCTTACTGATATAATCGATAATTCCATTACTTCGCTGCTCGTTGAAAAAGATATTGATAATAGGATTAACTTGAATTATCGGTATTTCAATCAATTTTCATTGAGCAGTTTACAGGTATAATGTTTTTAATTGTCGGTGGGATTAAAAAATGATAATTTCCGTTGAAATTGTTTGTTTTTTCAGTGACTAATGAAAAATGAAGCAGGGAATTTATGAAGAAGTGGATCCAATTGGGTCCAGTGGGGAGGTTTTCGGTGAGGACACATGCACGAGGAGAGAAGGAGGATGAGGATGAGGAGGCAGACAGTGAGAGGTGGTCTAGGGGATGTAGGACGCCAGAGGCATTCATAGCAGGGGCCAGGGGTGGCTTTGGTGGAATGCGTCCCGTTTAATATCGCGGAACATTATATATCGCCTCTCTTGTCCCTGCGTTCGCCCATTCCTCCTTTCCTCCTCCAAACCCCTCATACACAAAACCTTCCAACCCTCCGTCTGCTCAGTAAACCCCCGTCCCTCACATGTTCCAGGACAAGAGCTGTATTCTCCAACATATTCCAATACCAAGTGGATAAATAAACGAATGAGAAAAATAAATAGCTGAAATTTTCATGGAAAAACATTTCCATTTTCAGTCAACTCCATACGGTTGAAAATTTCTTGAATTTTCAGGCACAAGTCATATGAAGCTCCAATTATATGAGTCTGAATTTAAAAAAAAAATCGAGAGTTCTGGGGGCCTATTTTTGGAATATGGGAAATGTCTTTCGTAAACGGAACGACAATTTTATTTTGCCACACGAATCTTATTCCCATACGAAGTATCCTGTAAATTCGTAGATGAGAATCGCAGGACTAACGAAATGACAAATCTGTTGATCCGTCTACGAATCACATTCGTACACAGAGAGAAATATTCAATAAAAATTACGTGTATTTTCCGTAATTCTGGAGCGACATGTGGCTGTCGGAAATTTTACGGAACTGTCACGTAATTTTTATCTAAAGTCGCGGAATTTTTCTGCGGTGTTCCGTAATTTTTATCTGAATTATTAGTGAAAAATTACGATACCGTCACTTAAATTTTTCGAATTGACTCCGTAATCGGTAAGTGACCTGAAAGTTCCGTAATTTTTACTAAATATTTCTCTCCGTGTATGGAGAATTTTTTCACGAATCAGCGTTCTCAAGGGAATACCAAATATTCGTTACATTCTCAAGTGCCGAGAATAGGTCCCCAGGAACAAATACATGAAAAGATAAATGAAGAAAAATTATTTTTCTATTTGCTCTCTGTATCCACTGAAATGTGAAATGCAGGGAGTCAATTATTAACCATAAAGGAACGTATTTTTCCCTCGCAAAACAAAGTGCACGATGAA